AACCCATTAGGAAAAAAAACCCCAGGGGTGTTTAAACTTGACAGCTTTAAGACTTGTGGACTTCAACTCCCAGAATTCCTCCTCTTGTTCTTCATCTCGATGATGTGTGGACGGACGGGGGGAGGGAGCTGGAACCGGTTCTAAACGGCACTGTAGATCTGTGGAACCCCTTCTATAGAAGAGGTTAGAACTGGCAGGAAGGAACCCACCCCTGATGTTCACTAAAGTCAGGGTTTGGGGGGTTAGCCCATCGACTTCTTCCTGTCAGGCCTTCCGATTTTGGGAAAATGGTCTTCAACCCATCCCTAAACTCACCGCTTTCCTTTAAGTTCTCAGACTGATTTTATGCCTTCAATGGATTCAGTACTCGATGGAGTATAGGCGCACTTTTTGTTCCATTTTTATCCAGGTGGGCCTCAATTTACGAGCACAACTGGGTCCAAGTGGGCTTCGGGTGTACTCAGGACATACTCAGGGGTGGGATTGAAAATTGTTAGCAACCAGTTCTCTGCCTGGTTGCTATATGGGCTGGCCTTAGTGGGCATGGCCTACTCAGCCTCCTATGGGGGAGGGAAGGAGTTTTCACTCTCCCCAGGCTCTGGAAGCTTTCCCTGAGCCTCCGGAAGGGTGAAAACGGCCTCACTCAGGCTCCAGAGGCCAGAAACAGGACCGTTACTGGACTTCCAGAATTTCTAGTAGGCCCATATGTCACTTTCCCCAGGCTCCAGAGGCTTTCTTCGAGCCTCAGGGAGGGCGAAAATGGCGTCCCTCGGGGGAGGGGGGACTAGTTTCCGGACTTCCGGGACACCCATTTTTCACCCTCCCAGAACCTCCACATGGGCCCTGCACTTATATGGCATCCAAAACAGGCTGGTGGAGACTCCTGGGAGAGGCAGAGCAGGATGTAAAATTCCAGTTCGCCCGAACTGGTCCAAACTAACTGAATCCCACCCCTGGATCAGGGGTGAAAATTCAGCAGATTCTGACAGGTTCTGGAGAACCGGTAGCGGAAATTTTGAGTAGTCCAGAGAACCGGCAAATGCCACCTCTGGCTAGCCCCAGAGTGGGATGGGAATGGAGATTTTGCAGCATCCTTCCCCCAGGAATGTGGTGGAAATGGGGATTTTGCAGCATCCTTTCCCTGCCACGCCTACCAAGCCACGCCATGCCCACCAAGCCACACCACGCCCACAGAGTAAAAAAAAATTGAATTTCACCACAGCCCTGGATGCACGTACACAGACAGAGAGGCGTGCAAATGTCCCCTTACACTTGCGTGTGATGGGAATGCAGATGTTAGCAATGGGGTGGGTCCAT